AATTCGCTGAGGAGGGCAAAGAAGATGTCGGAGCAAGTTGTGTGGGGAGGGATTTGCACACTTTCAGGGAACATGCCCTCCAGCCTCGAGAAAGTGATGTTCAACTTATACTGCAGCATGCCCAACCACGTATCGTCGATTACCATGGGTTTGGTGAAGTGCATCGCCAGTGCTGCGTCGTGGACATTGCGGTAACTCCACATGCTAAAAATGCCCAAGTATTGTGGTGTATGCCTTGGCCAGGGGATTTCGCGCTTGGAGAAGGCCCACTGTGGAAAAACACTATTGGGCCGAAAGACGGGATTCACCATCACCTCGAAGCCGCAATTCAGGTCCTCCTGCAGTTGCGGCGTCAAGCCACGAACAAAGGTGCCCAGCTTATTAATGTTCACGGCATAGTCGTCGTCGAGGAAGACGAAGATCGGTTTGTAGGGTCGGCAAAGTCGAGCAGCCCACTGGAAGGTGTGGAAGAGTTTTAGTGTCAAATTGTAGTAGGAGTCCTCGTAGTCACCAACAAGTAGATCGTCATGCTCCCGCATCTCCTGGGCAAGCATTTTGGTGGTCTTTGATGGATGCCTTGAATGCTCAATTAGTTTGTTTCCTGCTCTGTTGGTGAGAGTGACATTGAATCCGTCGCGTACGAATACGTTGCCTGGCAAAGTTCGTGGCAAGCCGATGGAGAAAATGAGGTAGGCGTTGATATCTGGGTAGTGGAGGCGGTAGAGTTGGCGTAGTTTACTTCTCACCTCAAAATTATACACGCCTGACTTGTAGACAATCACCACGTTAGGGAGAGACGATGTGTCTGTGGGCCCAAGCGTAGCTTGTGTGGCCGTGAGAGGAGCACAGACTCTAGAGGGTACTTGAAGCAATTGAATCCATGGATTGTAAATGGGAGGCTAGAGGAGAATGGCAAGTCATAGAACAAAGCTCGCAAGGCGCTCCTTTCTGCGCAATGGGGATAAAAGAGAAGAGCAAAGGTCACGCATACATATTATGCATAATCAGACATTCAAAAGAAAGGTATCATGAATGCCCACCAGCCTGGTTGCCAAAGCAGGGGTTAAGGGAAGAAGTTGGCAAACTTTGGCGCACCTGCGGAATTGGTTTGCCATCGATGAGTGACTGCAGTGTTTCTCTCACGGGAATCGACTGAGGATAAAGCAGATAGACGCTGGGATCAAAATTTTGCAACCACTCGGCGTCAGGAATGCTTGCCAAGTCCTCGAATCGCAGACGTTTGCTGCTTCCGTTGATTCGAATTTTGGACTCCTTTATCGTTAGAGGCGTATCTGCCGGGCTGGATGCTTTGGAGACCCTCGTATAACACAGATGCAGTTGGTAGTGACCATCTGGATGCGCATAAATGCTGTCGTTCCATGTGCAGTAGGTGTCATCCAAATATGGTTGAATTATCCAACTTGCGGTGGAGCTGAAGTGAAAGACGTAGACGTAGATAGCATATACGATGGTCACAACGATGCCCAACCCCAATGTCTTCCTCTTTGAGGGCATCAGCCGACGCGCCGACACTTCCATTCTCGAATGCAACAATGAGGTGCAGCACGCTGGAGATGTGTG